AAAAGTCTCTCCGATTTCTTATCCAAGTCCAGTAGTTCGTCGTCAGATGAACATTGTTGTGACGAAAGTGAAATGTCATCTGGTGCCATGGCACATACAGGAGATACATGAATAGTCTGCTCATTAGCATTCTTCACTAGCTGCATCATTATTGAGCCTGTTGTTATTGACCACCTCGTCGTCCGATGAGCATTGCTGTGACGAAAGTGAAATGTCATCTGGTAGCATGGAACGTATAGGAGATAGATGTGTGGTGTATTGATATGGTTCATTCGTGAATGGCAGTGTCATCGACTGAACTGTTAGTTTGGTTTTGTTCGTTACTTGCGAAGGACTGCTGGAGGACTGGTGTTGGAGCTATCAATGGTGAGTGTGTTAGTTATGTGAATAGTTGCTTCGGCTGTAGCTTCCGGGAGTAAATTCATGAATTTACCAAATAAAAGCGAACAACCAAGACATTGTCCTACTGGCGAATATCATAAACCCTTGTGTACTTAATTTCGTTTTGCTGATGTGATTTTTTTATTCACAGTGTATTATTGCTGCTGGAATAAAATTAAACTCATTTTCTAAAAATTCTTGCTTTAGAACATGAAAAAGAAGTCGCTATTGATGTGTGGTGGAAACGACGTTTAGCTGTTCCTAGGCTCCGTTCGAAGTGAATAAGTGGTGTGTTTTGAGCAGTGTTCTGTCTTTTGTTTTGAACCAAACCTCATGATTGAATTTTTCTGATTTTAGCAACCTGTGCAGCTTACATTTACCGTACATTTTACGTTAACGTAGCTGTGGTGATTTTTTCGAAACGTAAATGTAGGAAACGTAAACAAGTGAAACGTACATTACGGAACAGCCTACCTCAGCGCCTAGGTAGATACAGAGAAATTAAGATGATAATTAGAATGCGAGTACTTTAAAGCACTAGAACATTTAAGGGTCCCTACAAAAAACCAAGTTTTCGGACGCAACAATCAATTTTGAGATAAACACATAGCACAGAAGCTTAAAGTGTAGATTCAATGTTTTATTTTGATTCTACACACGTTTTAGTACAACTACTATGCCAGAAATCAATGAAGACAAAAAATGACATTTGTCGTAGAGAAGGAGAGTACTAATAAAATAGCTCTAGAATGAAAATAGAAGAGCCTGTCAACCACTCATTTTGTAGAAAAATGTTTGCTCTAATAACTAAAAAATATTTTATCTGTATAAGTTTTTGAATTATAGGTGCCTTTTATCCCAAAGTCAAGAAACCTAAGATGGTCTTGGTGGGGACTAGGTACAATAAAATCCATCATGGGCACCATCATCTCCCACATTATTATTATTGTCTTATACATCAACTTTCAGGAAAACAGACGCGAGAAGACATACTGTTCGAATTCTTAAAATCTATGTGTGAAGAGGTAGAAAACCATGCTAAAACCAACTGATAAAACAGATATATTTCTCAAATGATGTTCTATTGATGCCTCACTGTTGTCTCTCATTAAATTATTCGAAACAGTGTCTGAGGTTGATTTAAATGACACAAAAAATACATCAATTTGATAACAAATTTCTCCTAATTAATGAGAGTTGTAAATATAAGAACACTTTAATCTAGTTCATTCACTCCTCCATGACTTGTTTTTTCTCAGATGGAAATGATCGTTTATTAATAACTGTGTAAAAAGATTACGTATAAAAAAGGAGACGAATTGAGAGAAAAATCCTTATGGATGAATCGAGGTTAAATCCACTAGTTGCTACCGTCTATTCTACTAGTTTTTCAGCTTATCAGAAGTCACAGGAGGATAGTTCTAATATCCCTAAGAAATTCTTGTATCGTATATCATGATAGATGAAGGGTTTAGATGTTTTCCCGTCTAAGGATAGGTTGGTGATACCCATAAAAAGAAACAGATGCGTGCTTACTTTGGGTTTTAGAAAATGCTCAGAGATTTACTAATAACTCATTCTGAACTCTATCGTTTAAAAACATTTTAAAACTTTCATTCTTATTAAAAGACATTTTTTTTTTAACAATTCTGGTGTACCTTTGCGACAAAGTCGATGCCAAATAAACAAACAATGATAAATTGAAAAAATCGGCACGCGATCGAACGACTTCTCAAAATCAAACGTAATCCCAACAAGCTTTTTTACCTTCTCTCAGTATTCATAAATGGTGGTAATAACAGCAATAAGAGCATCGACTATACTTTAGATCTGAAGACGAACTACTGGACTTGGATAAGAAATCGGAGAGACTTTTTGTGTATCCCCCGCAAAAAGGAGATACACAAAAAGCCCCTGGGGGGATCAATGCTGATTCCATGCCCGTTACTGTAACTAACAGATCAATCAAACCCAACAGAATTAGGGAATCGATATAATTCTACGTGCACAAAACATTAACAGTCACAAAACTTAACGGTATTCAAGAATTCTAAGAAATGGGTAGACTTCTAAGAAAATCGGTACACTATTCTCTTTTCCACATACGAACAATAACAGATTCAACAGTTTTCTAGAATTCTATAAAATGCATGGAATTTTATAAAATTGCTGTCCTAATCGTAATTCCTCTAGAATTCTGAACTGCATACAGAAGTTATAAATTCTCATAAATTGAGAATTCCAAATTCGAATACAACACCTCTTAGTCTTATTTCTTCACTCACTCACAATGCCACCCATCCACCTTTCCACGCCGGCTGAGTCGAATTTGAAGAAGGCTGCCAAATATCCCAGATCTCCAACAATATCACATGAATATTATACGAAAGCTTGTTTCAACTTAATATTGCAATGAAAATTCCGTCTGAATCGGACTTACCTGTAGAATGCTGTCATTTTTGTAGCTGATCTTAACAGACAGACAGACAGACAACACGAATTTGTATTTAGAATTGTAAGACCATTGTCTTTCAGTCAATGGAAAAACCATGTATGTTTCAAGGTCAAAGCAATGGAGCATTTGGAGACCTTTCGTCGTACGTTAAAAAAATTTATAATTATTTTCTTTTTTTTCATCATTTTCATACGGATCTCTATTACTGTTACTTTTTTTTAAATGATATGACTGCTCTTATAATATAACAAAATAAAATGACAAAAATATATTTAAATATTGAACATTAGAAAAATAAATTCTCAAATACATTGAGATAAATCAAAATTCTAAATATGTGGAGAAGCAATAGTAACAAGGCACAATTTATTATTTAATGAATCCGATTTTGTATCATTGTTCGTTGTATCACTGTTTTTTAATATTAATGGTAAGCACAGATAGGGAATTTGATTGGAAGAATTAAATGATGGTAATATAAGCAATGATTTTGTACAATGCGTTGTTAAATTCATTTTACTTATTTTTATTGGCTCAATTATCAGTATTTGATTATCAGAAGTGTTCAAATTATCCGTTGTAAAACAAACACCTTTAACACGAATCATATGTAAGGTCTGCTGATTCTTATTCTTATTCGATGTTTGTTCATAATAATGTTCGTTTAAAAACTAGAAAACAAAAATTCATATAGAATAGAATTTTATTAATAAATACATACAAACACTATTGTGTTTATTACGTACGTTAGTGACTATCATTGTATCATTAATTAAATGAGTTGTTTTTAGTTCAAGTATAACAGCATTCAAAATTGTTTGTACACGATGTAGATACCTTAGATCGAGTGTTGAATTTGTTGTTGATGTTAAATAGTTTAATGATTGACTATAATTTAGAACAAAGTCCGATATTGTTGAACGAGTCTTTTCAAATGGTCGATTATATAGTATTTTATGAAATAGTTCATGTTCATAATTGTTTGATGTTATATCACCCGCCAGTATATCTAATAAATATTCCATATCAATACATAAATTAGTTTCAATAGAATTTAATAGACTAAATTCAGTTCGAAAACAATGTGATAAAGTGATTGAAGTTGATTCTTGTTGTGAATGTTGAATGAATGAATTAGAAATATAAGTATTTGATCGTAACAATGTTAAATAACTACGAATAACCGATTCAACAAGTAACATGTCATCATTTGTGTAGAAAGCAAAAGGTAATTGACGACGAATTTCATCTTCATCATCATCATAATCATCAAATTTTAATGTTCTCTTGTATAATAAGTAAAATTTATTGAAAAATTCACTAAAGTAAAAGTAAAAGCAAAAATATAAGTCAAGTATGTTTTCTTTAAACAACTTAATATATCAACATACGGTTTTGGCTCGTTTATTCGATCGATTAGAAGAGTTTCACTCTACAAAAGTGAAATAAAATTGATTTAATTGTATAAAAAATGAAATATTTTTAAAATATGTTACCGTTGTTTTAGCATGTGTCAAAAATAAATCGTTTACAAATCGTTGTAACAAACATTGATCGCAATCATTCTGAATATATCGTGAATAGAGGAAATATAGAATTGATTTTAAATTTTGTTCGTTTGATTTTAATGAACACCAATGTTTAACATCGTAGAGAAAATCATTTTCATGAAAACTAAATTCAAACAAAAAAATATTCTATCTACGTAAAATAAACAGTAACAAATTAATTATTTACTTGCGCGTATTCGATATCAAATTTTTTCCAATAATATTACAATGTATCGATGTTAAATGATTAATTTTATCCTCCTAATTACACGACGAAAGTTTAAAAAATAAAATTTATGAAAAAAAAATGAAAATATTTCATTACCGAGTTAAATTGTTCATACTGCAAAATACTTTGTTGGAGTCTTAATTGTAATGTAGACTGTGATGGACATTCTAATGTTACATTCAAACATGTTTGTTTTAACCAACCTAGAAGAAAGAAAGAAAAACAAAAAAAAAGCTCTAGAGAATTCTTATAACTTTAAAATATTTAAATACTTGGAATTTTATCTTGATATTGTTGATCACAAATTAACCATAATTTAAATTTCATATGCGTTTTGAATAATAACTGATCAAATTGATCTAATTCTAAATCATTAATTTCATTCTCATGTAATTTCAAATGAGAACAGGATAATAGAAACATATTCTAAAATATAATTTATTATCAAAGTTAAAATAAATATGTAGTGAATATAAAAAACAAACAAACAAACATACGTATAGATTTTGAAAGAAAAGTGTTGAAAAATCCTCTGATAAATGTAAATCTTTAATAATTAACCAATTTTGTTTTTGAATAGATTTTAATAGAAGAGAATTAATATTTGATGTTTCATCAGTATACTTTTTATTAAGTAAATCCATTGCCGATATTAATACAATATTTTGTTTTATTTTTAATTTTTTTGAAAGTAAAACGATTTCATTGACAGGATCTACAAATGTAGTGGAATCTAAAATAAGAAAGAATAATATAAATAATTATAGTTAATCTAATCTAAATTATCGAAGTTATTTACTTGTCCATATAAGAATAACATGTTGTTTTAATAAATTTGATAAATAATAGGTATCAGTAATGGATGAAGCCGATTTTGAACAAATTATTCCACCATAACGATAAGTTAAAAATGTTTGAAATAAATCATTTGTCTTAAAAAAAAAAACAAGATAAAAATAGTGACAAAATTAATCATTTAAATTGAATATCTTTTTTTATTATTTTCTTACCTTTTGTGGACAAAGTGTTAACCATAATATTATTCGATGTATTATTGATAAATTTTGTTTTTTAAATGGACATTTATTAAGTAAATCAATTTTTTGATCATTTAAATATTCTAACCAATCCGTTTTATTTTCAACTAATTCTAGACATAAATTTTCAAATATGGATGAATGATTTTCTTGTAAATATTGTGCACATTGCCAAGTATAATCAGTTAAATAAGATGGTTTTGATGTATCATAGAGAAAATGTGGAATTATTTTACGATTATGTGGATTTTGTTTTAATAGTAAAGTTTTTAATATTTTTAAATCATGTTCGGTAATAATTTGATGATTATTATTATCATCTTTAATAATTAACATTTCTTTTAATGTAAAAATAGTTAAAAATAATATTAAATCATTTTCAGTCATCATTGACGAAAGATAATTGTACAATTTTTCAAAACATCTTAGATAAATTTCTCGTGCTTGTACCTTATTTGATGGATCTATGAAAGAAAAATAATAATAATAACAAAAATATATCAATTATGATAAAATTTAAGATCTTTTTACCATTATTTTCCATTCGTTTTGATAGTCCACTAATTACAATATGAATAAACCAGTCAAAAATATTTGCTTCAACATGAAAACATACATTATTATCTTCTCTCATTATATCGTACATAATTGTTAAGGATTTTGCTGTTGAACGATAACATTGACCACGTTGAAGAAGAAGATCTTCTTGTGATTGATGTTCATCGTACGTATTTACCAATAATTGACGTTCATGATCGAATTTTTTCAATATTAAAAGTAATTCTTCCGATTCAATGAGACCATTTACTGTTGATTCATCATCCAATCGAAGATAGGAGACCAATTTTGTCTAGACAAAAAAATAAAAAATAAATACACCATTGAGTTCTGAATAATTCTTTCATTTATTTTTTATCTTACTCTTCTTAGAGTTAAATCATTTTGTGCCAATAATTTTAATCGTTGATTATTTCGAATATGATGTAAAAAATTATGTGATTTTGTTTCGACAATATTTAACCATACAATATCTTCTATCTGTTTACAACTTAAACGTAGATCAATAAAACGATTTTTGACAATATCATTCCACACTAAACATAATAAACAAATGATAATATTTGCCATAAATAATAAAAATACAAAAAAAAATCTATTAAATTTACTTTGATTAGTGACTGGTACTCTTCGAAAATTCAATAATAATCTAAATTGTGAATTAATAAATATATTATCTTGTTCAGAATAACGAAATATAATCGGATGGGTCATATGTTCAATGTCCTTTGTCATAGACCAATGAAGAAATTTTTGAAGAAATGATGTCCTATTTAAAACATCACAATGATCAACAACAACGACTACACCTAAAAAAAATAAAAAATGAATTAAATATAAAATATCAGTAGAATACGCAAGGGGGGAAAAGCGCACTCCGCCACTCCAGCCACTCCGCGGAGTAAACCGCACTCCATTGCACTCCATAGCACTCCGGCACTCCGTACAATGGTCCGGAGTGGCGAAGTGCGTTGTTTTCTTTTAAAATAAAATAATGATATTTCTCTCAGTATTGTTCCCCCAAAACGGAACAATCCGATTCCCGAAACAGAACAGTTATGTTCCCAGAACAGAACAATCCGGTACTTTCCTTGAGGGAATTTCCCAGATAACGGGACAATTGTGTTCTGTTCTGTGAATTCGTTTCTCACAGACAGAACGTCTTTGTTCTGCTTGTAGGAACAGAGATTTCTGGAACAGTTCAGTTCAATAAAATTTCTGAAGCCCGCGGTACTCCAAGCCACTCCGAGTCACTCTTAGCCACTCCGAGCCACTCCGAGCCACTCCAAGCCACTCCGGGCACTCCGGCACTCCACGGAGTGGCGGAGTGCGCTTTTTCCCCCTTGAGAATACGTCATATTTGTCTTTTTTTTTCTCCTTCTCCTACCATAATACATAGCATTGATTAATTTCTTTTCTAATTCATTATCATTTGCCATGAGTATTAATACATTTTTCTCCGGTCTTGTATAATCATAATCTAATTGTGGTAATGATACAATGTTTTTACCTTGAAGATCGGACAAAGCTACAGTAGCAGCCGATTTTGTTAATAACATTCTAAAAATATATTTGAATAGAAGAAAAAAAAAGAAACAAAATTGTATCTCCTACGATGTTGGTGCTCGTGATGCAACGGTAGATGATTCCCAAATACTTGATTTTTCTGTTACTTCTGTAATATATGTTTTACTTGAACTAATTCGTGAAAATAGATTATCTCGTTGTTGTGATTCAGCACGATATGCCGAATCTAATTGGCCAGACGATTGTACAAGAGGATTTTGTTGTTGATAACGTTGAAATGCGAGAAAATCTACAGAATATAGTAGACAGTTTTTTTTTTGAGAAAATATAATAAATTTTATTTCTTTTTAATATTTCAAATTATTATACCTTCTTGAGCTTCTTCAATATTTGATTCAAAATCTTTTTCTAATTCAGATATCCATAGAATTAGATCATGTTCAGGATTATGTAAAATTAAAACAAAATTATTATTATGTCGTAAATCAATTGTAATAGCATTTATAACAGAATTAATATCCATTGTATAATTTGTATTTTGAATTATTTGAATATAATAGTCATTACGATCTAAATAAAAGTTCATATTAAACATTTTTAGAACTATTATTAATCAAATAGTACAGTAATAAACACATAAACATTCGTCATTTTTTGCCTCAATTAAGTTCTATATACCTTTTTCATTCATTATTACATCAACAAAATTGAAATTCGCTCGTATTGGTAAATAATTTTCGTTACTCAAACCTAAAACAATATCAAAATATAATTTATTGATATTTAGTATGAAAAAACTACCTTTTGATCTTCCATCATTGAGCGTTGATGTGTTTATAGTTTTAAAACAATTAAGTGATAGCCTAAAAAAGTAATAATATCGTAAAATGTTTTAAGTCTCCTCGGATCAGAAAGATATCTCAGTAACCATAGATTAGATCTTGATAATAATTTTAAGGAATATTAGTCGTGTCGAGAAATAGCTAACTTTCGTTTAATAGATGTCATCTGAATAAATATCAAAATGGAGCATTTACCGTTCAGCAGATTTCTCTTCTCATGAAGCAGTCAGAGTGTTTCGATTAGTTTTTAAATATCAGCATAAGTTAGGACAACGATAGGTAAAAGGGCCGGAGTTTTGAAGTTTCTTTTGTTTTATTTTCCGAAGAATCTTACTATATATCTCAACAGTTCAGAAAAGCGAGGAAACTGGCATATAACTCTCAACAGTATAGAAAAATGAAAATCTACATCAAAAATCGGCTTCTTTTACGTTGTTCTCATATGTCTTAGCTTCAATTTAAGAAAAAATGAGTCAGCTTCGAGAAACCTGAAAGACGCTGACTTCTACTGAGCAAGAAAACAGTTTTAAGAAAAACTCAGAATACTTTGTTTCTTCTGAAAACTACTTTTTTTTATTTGTTTGGATTTCTAAAAACAAAGTTCTCTATAGATTTTCAAACATAGGGATTCTGATGTACATATGTTCACACATGTGTATGTTTTTCTCAATACTATTTTTTTAACCTATAAACATATGATATATATATTTCGATGAGACTTTCGGAAAAGTTCGTGAAAAATCACTAAAATACGTTTTTAAGCACATAGAAATGAGTGAATTTGAAAGACGGCACTTGGGATTATATCGTCATATACTTTTCTCAAAAATTGTCAAGTCTGATTCGAGGATGGTAGGGACTTTAACAAAAATTATTATTATTCATTCTTCTCTACCATTTTTCTAGAACATAATTTCGTCGATCAGCACTAATTGTTGACAAATAACAAAGACATGAAGCAACCAAAAGTGAATCACCCACAACTGATAATTTATATTGTTGAGATTTTTCTAATTGTTTTATCCAATATTCAACATCATCACCAATTAAATTTAACATTGATGATGTTTTTTCAATATTTTGTTGAAAAAATTGTAATCGTTTTAATTTTTTATTCATTTCATCTCTTTCTTGATTTCGTTCACGTATTAATATTTCCAATTCTTTTTTAATTGTTTCTGCTTTCAAACGTTTTTCACCCATTATTTGTTGTCGTTTTTTATATAAATCTTCATAGGCTTTTACTTGTTGTACTTTTGATTTAATTGATCGAGCAATTGTTGAATATTCAAAGACTGCAATGATCCAAGCACAAATAGAGGCAGCTGCTTTCGATGAACATGCAACAAATGATGGACGAAATGTATCAAATTGAACAATTTGTGCTAACATTGAATAAACTTCATCCGTTATATTTTCTTTATCATAATAGATTAAATCATCGAAAAAATTTTCTTTCACTGTTAATACTTTTGCTTCATTCCATCTGAAATAAAAGAAAAATAAATATTAATCGTATATTTTAGACTAATCTAAGAGATTTTTACTCGGGTTTTTTGCCAAACATGATGCATATTGTATTCATAACAGCTAAGACTGGTTGTGGTGGTTGACGAAACGTTCGAATTTCATCGTAATCAGCTTTTTTCAACGCTTGAACAGCACTCAATGCTGCTTCATATTGAGGATTTGCCTAATAAAAGTGAAAAATATATGAATAATCTAAAGATAATCATTCCTCTACCCATTTTTCAGTAGTTTCAGAAGCACGTAGTTTTATAGTCCGAAGTCACCTCTTATCATTACTGTAATTTTTTTTTATCGCTAAGAATGTGCTTTTCTTGAAATACGTTCTTTCAAGAATTTATTTCATTGCATAGGGACTCGATCCATCCAAACTCGATCCATTTGACCAATTTCAATACACTCGGGTATTTTTTGATTTGGCATTTCATTTTTGGATACTTTTTTCATAGTGAACGAGAGTAGTCACTTAAAAGTTCTGTATGAAGGCTGAAGATTATCCATATTTTCTTTATCAGCCGAAGAGAAAGCATCAGTAAAGGATAAATCGAAAAACGCTCGAGCGTATTGAAGTCTTGTATTTATAGGAAATATTTGAATTTGAACTTATAATGCTTCGATATGGTAAGTCGATATGAAATGGAAAATTTTGATTTCTAGAAAAAATTCCATCAAAAAATGGCTTCAGAGGTGTAAATTAAAAATATGATCGTTTAATTCTTTGAGAAAAACTATGATGAACGTTTTACCTCTCTATGATTTATTCTCTTCGATTCTGTAACAATGTAAGAAATCGTTAACTTTACATCAATGAAAACCTACTTTACTAAAATCTTCTTGCATATCTTTCTTTAATTTTTCTAATGCAGTGGCCATTTCTTCAAGCAACCGTTCTTCTTCACGGCAATCTTCCAGGGCCTAGTATGAAATCAACAAAATAAGTTTTCTAATAAAACGAGAATTTAACATCTATTCTTACTGTTGTAAATGCTTTTTTCTTTTCTGCTAATTCGGCCTCAATTTTTGCTAATTTTTTACTAATATCATCAATTTCCAGTTGTAATTTTTTACACAATTCTTTGTTATATTCAATCATATTTTCAGTTTTATTTGTACGAGCCAAAATCATTTCGTACTGATTTGAACGATCCTAAATAATAATTTTTCATTAATATGAAAATGATTGAAATTTTTCATCAATTTACCGTTTCTCCCTCGCTGATATTTTTATCAAATTTATACAAATAATCAATTGTTCGTTTTATCATTTTTAATGTAAAATATTTTGTCTGTGTATTTTTTATTCTTACAGGATGTTTATATGATTCAATTGTTATATTATTATCACAACGATGTATTTCTTTTAATGAAATGAGATGTATCTCAGCTAATGCACTGGCGAGAAGATTGATTATTGCTAAAGAATATGTTGTTGATTTAAAACTTTGTAGCGATAAAGTATGTTCAAACTAAATAAAATAAATATTGTTAAAAGTATGAATATATGATCGATCAAATACGAATACATTTTCATTATCTTTTTCTAGCCAATGTTTTGCTATTAATATTAACGACTCTTTTGTCCATGTTTCATATTGATCAACATAACAAGACGAAAGTGATAATGGATAACGTTGATGAAACATCATACGACCCGATTCTTAAAACAATAAAATAAATTTGATTAATATATACTTAAAAATAATGAATACTTACGATAATCTTCAAAAATGATAATATGAAGACGTTTTTTAATTCGAGCATAAAATGATTTTAATACTGAATTTGTTTTAGTTACACGACGACTCGATGGAAGACCAGGTGAGAGAGCAGCAGCTATACGACATAATTCATCACTGGAATATAAATCAGAATAAATTCCTTCTCGAAGAAATACAACAATATTATGTAACATTTCGTCATTTAACAGATGTTCACGAATAACAATGACACAATTTTTTTGTTTTAAACCAGCTAATAAACAACATTGACGTAAACATAGACGAACATTTTCATTTTCATCATTTGAAAACGTTGTATTCGACATATGACCATCGAAAAACTATAAAAGAAGATATAGTAAGGAGATGAGAGAAAGTTTCTAGAGAAAAATCTTGAATTATTTTTTTTCAAGAAAAAAGTAGTTTGTTAGAATCAGAATTTTATGCTCCTTTTGAATATATATCATCAAGAAATTGTATAATATTCCTGTACGGAGTAAGACTACAGTACTGCACATAAGTAGCAAATTTTCAAAGGGGGAAAAAGCATTTTGGAAATGGTATAGAATGGTACGGAATGGCCTGGAATGGCCCATTCCAGCCCATTCCGCCTTTTCCCCCTTGAAATTTCCTGTAATTTTTAAGAACCATGATACCTAGCGACTTCTAATTTTGTGTGATTCTAAACCTAATCGAATGCTGATCATCTAACAAGTTTAGAAGAGAAAATTTTCAAAAGAAAATTTTTTGTTCGAAAAATGAGTTTCATGTACAAAAATGAGTTATGTCATTTGACTCAGTTTCGTATAAGTGAAATATCCTAGACAAAATTTTACGCACGTCTTGTCTATTTCCTACATGGATCTTACAGCATTCTAATGTTTAGGATTCACCTAATACTTTCCTAAAATGCTAGGTTCCTATTAGGATTTTGCTTAAGTTTGTTTAGGATTCTAACAGAATCTTAGAAAATCCTATGACTTTCGGTATACCTGATTTCATTAGGATTTTATAGAATTTTGTTAGAATCCTAAACAAACTTAAGCGAAATCCTAGTAGAATATTGGTAGGATATGTCTCGGATCCTGTCAGGAAATTCATAGAGATTTTACTAGGGTAGCGAGGGTGAGAAGTGAGCGTATAATTTTCATTGCAAAGTTTATCATAAGTTTTCATGATTATATTTTTTTCTGTTTGTATATTAAATGCCAGTCGACAGTGGAATGGGTGGCGTTTACTTCGTCAACCGACATTTGAGCGACCCGACATTAAACACTTTTCAATATGACTTTTTCCGTTCGGGAAAATGGAATGATTGCTCACTTCGATAACGATTAATAATGATGATGATAATAATTTCTTTGTCGTCCGATTATGAACCGAATTATTTGGATCTGTAAAGGGCGAGCAGCTATAAATGATGTGCTTCTCTCGAACGTCGGTTAATCCGTTTACTTTTTTATTTTAATTCTTCTACATATGTTTCACTAGTGGACGCTCGTTCTCAATAAATTTTCGAAACATACAATAGTAAACTTTCATACTTGACTGGATAGTTTACAGACACTGTAGAATATTTGGTGCGAGTTTGAACTCAAAATGATGTTCTTAGACTGGGTTATGACTTTCTATTGAAAAGGATCTCATATTTTAAACGTAACTTTTGATCATAAAATAGCTGTCTTTCGGTAGTCATCAAGAGCGAACAGTTTAAATTCATAACGTAGATAGACAAGAATCAAGACTACATTTTGACGAAAAGAAAAAGTTTTCATTCTTCTTAGATCAGGAGTTATCAGCAGTTTATGTAAAAGAAATAAAATGTTAATATCTTATGAACCATCCGATAAAAGAGACCTAAACTTGTGGGATGATCAGAACATATGATCCGTGAGAGCTATGAAGCGACACAAAATTAAAAGTCTCCAGCTATCATATTTCTTAAACTAAACACGTGTCGCTGCTCTTAGCGTTTCTGCTTGCTTTTTTCGTTTCTGTGGTGCAAAAGTTGTTTTCCATAATCGTAGACTTTTCTTCATAAGATACATGCGCTCAAAATTTTGAAATTCAAAGAGAAAGTTAAATTAGTTGTACCAGAAAAAACGCTTTTTAAGATTTTCAGTTTTTCTCTATCTGAACGGTTTTTTTATGACAATGAGTTTTTAGTAAAATGATCATTTTCAGTCATCTTAGCATGTTTAAAAACTTAAAACAAAAGTATGTAATACCATTCGAAACGTACCTGTGTTCGTGATATAAAAGCGGCCATTTGTACTAGATCTTGTCGTCCCATTCCATATGTTTCAGCATGTAATAATGCATGACCTTGATTTAATGACTACACAAAAAAGATATATTAGAAAATATGTAAGATATCCTCTAACAAATAACGAAGAAACATACCAAAATTCGAACAATATTAACTAAATGTCGAACCGTTTTGTCGATAAACGCAAGATCAATTGAATATTTTGTTGATTTTGTAAACATTTTATGACACGAATGAAATGCTTGAACTAATTCAGAATAATTTGATTCACAATAATCTAAATTAATAATAAAAATTAAAGATTTAATTATACATAAATCTAGAATTTCTCACTGTTATTATATTGATCTGAACCAGTGTATTCACCATGCATATACAAGATTTGTTTACAAAAATAATTTGAACATAATCTATCAGCATATTCACTCTTAAATTAGGTCAAAAAGGGAATCTTTTCTAAACTTTTTACCATAATACTTGTGATAATCACTTACAATATTTTGTATTTTAGACGGATCGGTAATTAAACCTTTTCCTTTTGGTATGGCCAATAACTGAAAGAGATGTAATAATCTATTCTTAAACAGTAACAATCATAACAGAATATATGTTACCTTTGCAAATGAGATTAATGGACCGTTTAATGTGCCCGAACGATCACTGACTAAACCCAGTTTAAATTTCACTTGTTTTTTCAATGGACGAACTTCTGTTGGATTTACTAACTCAGTTGATGGAGTTCTTGTAAGCTCCTGTGATGAACTCGTTTCTTGGACTGTTGATGATTGATTTTCTTAACAGAAAAAAAAGTGTACCAATTATAGCAAATCGATAGGTACATGTTGTTGTTGTTTTTGAAAAAATAAACTGCACAATGTCTTTCAAATCCAACAAGTATATATTCATTATAATGGAACTGTAAAAGTTCTCCTTGCGTTGATTTAAGGCTAACTGAAAACACAGTTAACCGTTAAAATAACGGTAACTAACTTATCAGTTAGCGTTAAACCAACAGTAATTGAAAAGGCAGTTATCGTTAAAGTAACGATAACTGCATTTCCAGTTATCGTTGAAATAACGGTAACTATCCGTTAGTTAGCCTTGTAGTAACTATTTTTTAAGTATGGCAGAAATGTCCACGCAGCTGCTTAAAATGGCTTCCAAAATCGTTAGTTTTCCACTAAAACTGTTGAAACTTTCATAAATGACATAGTTTTGATTGGCACACACGTGCCAGTCAACTAAGCTAATCGAAAGTTATATAACTTCAATGTTTTGTAACTACGGTTTTTAAGGTCTCTGGAGACCTCAGCATCTACAGCCAACTTGAGAAATCTTTTTTGTTTTCATCAACGAAATTAGACCACAAAACCATGTCATTTATGAAAGTTTCAATAGTTTTAGTGGAAAACTAACGATTTTGGAAGCCATTTTAAGCAGCTGCGTGGACATTTCTGCCATACTTAAAAAATAGTTACCACAAAGTTAATTAACTGTTAGTTACCGTTATTTCAATTAACTATTTAGTCATCGTTACTTTAACGATAACTGTCTTTTCAATTACCGTTGTTTTAACGCTAACTGAGAAGACAGTTATCGTTACTTTAACGGCAAATGTTTTTCCAGTTACCGTTGTCGATAACCGAAGAACCGAAGAAGTAACGGGAACTTTTACAGTCCTACATTATAATCTATTTACCTGGTACACTTGTATCATTGGCTGCCACAATCTAAACAATAAACGTAATATTAGAGAGTTATTGGGTGTTCTATCTATTGTATCAATACGTACATGAAACTCTAATTCTGTACAAAAATTGGTAACAATTGTTCGATAAACCAATTCTTGAAACCATATTCGATCTATACAAGCAATATTCATTCTTTATGAAATATCATCATCGCACATTTAATACTTACCATCTTTATACGGAATACGATCTAATACCATACGCGATAGTTCATGACAAAGAAGTCGTATTACTGTAGGGACATTCTCTAAAAAAATTAAAATATTTTTAGTTTTTAAATGTTAATATTCAATAATCATTCTAACCTTGTTTTTTCTTTAATTTTAATTTTGTTTTTCCTATACGTTTTTCTTTTCCATTCATAAGCATCATGCCTTCAACAATCGATGATACATGATGTAAATTAAATATACCTAATGTGTAATTAGGTGAATAATGCAATCGTTTTCGAACAGAATCAAAAATTTCTTCTAAACTCAGTAGACATGCCTGAAGAAAAAATAAAATTATTACAGACAAAAATTATTCCTACACCCATCTCGAAAAAAAGAAGAAAATCACGAACTTACTTGTGCTAATTCAATTGGATGATTAATAGATTCAGCTGGAAATTCTTCTAACCAATTTTTTATGTTCAATGAAAATATTGTTTCGATCAATAAAGATAGATGTTCATGAATTAATATTGTAACAATATGACGAGAAAATCGATGATGGATATAACTGTACATTTGTGAATCGCCTAAATAATTTACACATTCATATAGTATGAATTTCTATTTAATTTTATTTACTTACATTGTGGCACTCCAGAAAATACAAAATTCCAATCTTTTTTTAAATGAAGAAAATCTCTCGTTGTTAACAGTGCATCACTTGTATGATCATCGTAGTCATCCAATAATGAACGAAAAAATTCAGTTGTAAAACCATCCTCTAAAATGTATCATTATACAAATTTAAAATTGTCTGGTAAAATGGAAAAAATACTACCTTTAGTTGGTGTTTGTAGATTGACATCATCAATCCAAATGACATACTTTTGTTTCCATGATAAATGTTTTGCTTGTGTTTCATGCATAATTATTGGAATATTATCTTTAAATTCTTTGCATAATAATGATGGTTTTCCGTTCGAAACCAAACGAATATGATGAATTTTTGTCGATAATAAACGCTATAAAGATTGGATATATTTTCTTTATTTGTACGATTTTTAAGAAGAAAGAAAATGTTCACATACTTTAATCATTGTACTCTTTCCAAAACCATTTTCACCAAAAACAGCTAATGGTTTACCGTTAGAAATTAACAGTGACATTAAACGTGTACTGCTCATAAACTAGAATTAATTTGAAGAGTATAACGTATAAAAAGACAAACTTAACAACAACAACAACAACAAATGAATCACCTCTGGTATCGTATCGTACGTTATATTTTTGGTAGTAAGCCACGTTTTTAATGGAACAAATCGTGTATTTATGACATCGGGATAAAGTTCATTTAATTTATAGTTTGGTAAAAATTCAAATCCGTACTTGGAAAGTATATCGAGCGCAAACATATTCACTTGTTCTTGAAAGCTAAAAGTAAACGATGACGATTAAATCTTACACTGTTCATTAATAACCGCTATCGATTTCAAAAACGAGAGGATTTTCTAATATTTTTTGAATAACTCGTGAATCAAAGGATTTAATGAGCTCAGATTTTCACCGAGGAATCAGATTAACAAGCATCTTTTCTTATAAAAATAAAGGAGTAGGGCGGATAAGACCCTTTTCTGGTCCACTAAATTTTTGACTTTTTTGCATTGGAATCATGTCAGGGGATGCTCAGGAACATTTCCAGAAACTTAGTTTCGCGAAATCTCTCGGTCAGGTTTTCG